CCAATATGTTGCGAAATTTAATTATGTTTCAAAATTTCATCGCAAATTTACGATAAAATGAATTTATTAATAAAAAAGTTATAGTAAAAAATATTGTTTCACAAGTACATCGTAAACTAGATTTTGACCCACGCCAAACGTGGGATTAAATGATTAAATATTTTTTTAATCGTCTTTAACATTTAAATGTGCATGACAAAGCTTATGATTTATAATATTTATAAACGTACAAAATGAGTTGCATTGTACATAAATGTAATAAAAATAAAATTTGCTCAACCATATTTGTTGCCATTAGTTTTAATATTTTTTATGTGCAAAATTGATCAAAACATATGCAAATGTTATTTAGTTCAATAACATTTTTTAAGTGTAAAGTTGATTTTTATTATTCGTGTAAATTATAAAGCATGCGATAAATTAGATAAGTTTTAGATTTATATGAATTTGTTGCACATAACAAATGAAAAACAGTATATGTTTCCAATAATAAAATGTATACATATTTGTATGTGTAGTTAGATATATATAATTGCTTATCATAATTAAAATATTTGTATATATTATATTAATCTAAATACATATATACACAAAAAATAATATTGTTACAAATATAATAAAAAGCTTCTTAATATTTAAAAAAAAATTAAAATGGATGATATGGTAAGTCTAACTATTACATTTAGTTTGACTTAAATTTGTGAAACATATATTAATAGGTTTATATTATAAAACTAATAAGAATATGCATAGATTTCCACATGCCATATAGTTATAATTGAAATATTTTTATTGGTTAATTTAAATGACATATTCCTTAAAACCTTCATTGAGTGACACATATGATTTTTCACCTTAGTGTATTATAGTAATGGACACTTTATCACAAACTTCTTACACTTTGAGATACTTTTGGACCAAGACACACTTTCTTGTACTCAAATGACTTTTATACCCCTAACCAAATACTGACCATATCTTCTTAGCTAATTACTTAATTTTGGTCATCTTCTCTCTCTCGAATCAAACAACAATTAAGAATTAAAATTACAGTTAGATTTTTTGGCCCGCATCAAATGCGAGATTAGAATATTCAAAAAAAAAATCAAGATTTTTTTATAATACACAGGAGTAATTAGATATAACAAATATCAAATGGCTACATCTCTCATAGAGATAAATTATTTTATCTTATAAAAATTAATTTGCATAACATTTTGATTAAATGTGAGTGGTTTTTGATGTAAACCAAATACGTTTGAGATTATCTGTTATTTCAAAATTATTTGATTTTACGAACACCAAAAAAAAAAATTTCGTTAGTATGTAAAAATCTTTTCAAATAAAAAATCAAAAGAATGATAAAAAGTATAAATGATGGTTTTCGAAATTCAAATATTAATTTTTGATTTGTAAAGTTATACGTTTATAACAAAAGTGCAATTTTAATCAGAGCAATATGGATACAATTAAGCGATATAAAAAAAATTGTATCATCA